TCAGTCACATATGACTGCAAATGGCCAGAGGGTTTAAAAAAATAAAGGGAAAAAGGTGATGGGAATGGGCAGAAGCACACAAACAGCACTGTCACATATACCCTGTTTGCTTTCCATCAGGTGAAAAACGGGCAGGGGGGGTGTTGTGTGGGTGACAGCCTGTCACATTTTAGCATTTAGAGTTCCAGCGACAGGACCAGCATAGAAGCAAAATGAAGTTTTTTTCTTGTGCCATTTCAGCTGAGAGATGAGGTTCCTAGTAAGAGCTTTTGGAAGGACTCAAAGAGTGCTGGCATCAGTCCAAGGGAGATGGATTATGGAGGTTGGTGAAACAGTGGAAGAATGAATAAATGAATAATTTCGTACCATGTGTTATAGCCCGCTCTCCCCACACCATGACTGCTGGCAGTGATGTCACTCATTGGGCCTGATCACTCTCTTTGGGTCACTCCTCCATCATTAAGTGGTGCACTTATTTAATTTGAAGAAAGTGCAATCAATAAAAAGAGATCCTTTTATCTTCCTCATCAATCTCTTGTTAATGAGCATGCACTTTTTTCTTATTAGATTCTTGGTTACAATGCTTTTAATTTCTCAATGTATGATAGAAAAGGGGGTGCAATCAAACACACGACGGAGCAGTTGATGCCGCGTGCTGCTGCTTGCTCCTTTCTGAAGAACTGGTGGGTGTAGGGATCACTTGTCCTGCACTGATGTATGGTTCTCTGAGCATCCTCTCTTAAGCTATGATCCGGACATGTGAGCCTATGAAGATACATTTTAATTTCCTGATGTCCCAGTAGTTGCAAGAAAGTAGAAAATTCTTCGGGAATCTTAGATATTTAAAATCCAATGGCTTCCACGAGAATGATTCACCAAGCCTACTTTCCAAAACTTTCAGTAGGTTTGGGTCTGGTTATGATATGACTGAAGGTCAGATGAGTTAAATGGTCTCTGCTGCTCTAGTTTTCAGGATGATGTCAGTCATGGTCACACATCTATTCACATATTTATGGTGACCAGAGATAATGATCCTCTGCAGTTTGGTAATATGAAGTCAGCCTCCTTTTAGCACCAGTAAAACTGGCAAACTTCTCATCACAGGCTGGAGGTTAATGCTGTCTTTGGCTTTGTGTATCTCCTTGAGTCTTTTGGGAGTGAAACTTTGTAAAAAACCATTTGATTCTTCACAAAAATACTCCACAAAACAAAATTACAGTTTTCTAAGGCTCTGATTTTCAACCTGTCATTTACATATGGCAGGAGTCCAAATCCCAGTCATAGATTAGCTTCATTAGTGTAGTCTCAAACTGCTTTTTCCTCTCAGCCAAAGAGGCCCAAGCCACATGGTAATCAGAAATAAATCTTTGCACAAGGAGCTAACCTAATTATGAACAGGCAAGTTATTTCCTCCCTTATCCTTCTGTATTTACCACCAATGTGCTACCCTAGTAAAACTTTGTTACCTCCCAAGGTCATGCTTCCTCCTGTTTTCTTCCAGGGTCTCCCTTTCAATGAACCAATTGCTGACTTTTCCCAGGCACTCATCTCCTCCAGCCAGGGCCAGAATCCATCTTTAAGCACAGCATGCCACTATAGAAACATAAAATGCTCAAAACAGGAGCTGTGGGATAAAGTGTTTCTGCATTGCTTTGGGGGTAAGAGGAGCAGAAAGGACCCCCAAAGTCAGCAAACTATATCTTCAGACCCAAAGTGAGAGACCATCATCAGCCAGCCTTTACCACAGCCTCGAGAGCTGTCACGAAGATGGTGTTCTCCCTTACCCACCCCGACGTGGTAAAAAGAGCACGGGGTTGCATTTTGGCCCAAAGGTCCAGAGAGGAGCCGGCCCATGCAGCCGGTATCGGATTGCAGCATGGCAGGTAGGCTGTGTCCTGGCCCTGGCTTTGGCCACCTGTGGCTCGGGGCTTGGGATGCTGCCTGGCAGATGATTCAGCACTGCCTTTTTCCCTTCTCGGCCGGGGAACAGCGGGAGCCGCCGGGCACCTCCGAAGGCGGGGGCAGGGTGCCGGGCACCGCCCCGCTCTCCTCGCCGCAAGCCCCCGCAGCCCCCGGGGGGCTGAATCAGCTCTGCAGGCTTCCCTGGGAAGGGAGACGAGGGGAGGAGGAGGAGGTCTGGTCAGAGCTAGCTGCGCGATGCTGAGGCAGGCAGCCTGCGCGCCAGGTCTGGAGGTGCGGCGGGGGAAGGGACCCGCAGCGGAGGAGGGCACTGCAGCCTGGCCCGGAGCCAGGCACCACGGACACGCTGCGGCCACGGAGCCGACGGGGGGTGTGCGAGTGTGCCTGCCTGCCTGCCTGCCTGCCTGCCTGCCGGGAGGAGCTGCTGCAGGCAGGCTGGGCCCTGCTGGTGGAGAAGCGCGTGAAAAAGGCAGGGAGAGATGCTGCCCAGGCTCGGCTTAGCCAGGCGGGCTGGGGCAGGAGCCCTTTGGCAGAGCCCTTTGCCGGTCCGTGCGAGCTGACAGCCCCTCCAGCAGCAGGGTGAGAAGGGGGGCGATGCACCCACCTGCAGAGGAGCCCCTGAATGTGTCCCCGTGCAGGCAGCACGCCGTCCCTCTGTCCAGCTCCACAGTGTTGCGTGTGTTCGGTTTAACTTCACGGCAACCCTTGTAAAGAAGGTGCAAGGTCTCCACATGCGTTTCTGTTCATCGCAGCACCAGCAAGACGTGAGCAAAGCAGAAACATAGTTTAAAGGAGAGCAGTTAAATGTGAGTAGGATGGAGAGTAGCAAAAATTACTGAAGGATGAATACAGGCTGTTTGTCAGGAGGACCAGCGCAGGAAAGATGCGGAAAGGGCAGTGGATTAAAGACAAGCTCAGAGAAGTGTCAGCAGGGAAAATTGTCTTACTGGAAATAGGAAGGTTGAAAAACTAGATATGGATAAAGAAGGAAAGACATTCTAAAACATTTCTACCAAGCCTTCAGATACTGTAGTATCTCATCTGTGCAATGAAGAGAATATTCCCAGATGGTTCTCAACTTGCACTCCTCTTTGAAGAGTGATGCTGCAGCTTCACACCTGAGGAGCAGCTTGTGTGTGCGAAAGCATGTCTGGTTTTCCCATATTTATCAGTTAATCTAATGAAAGGTATATCCCTTCTCTAGAAACCTTGATTACTTGTACCCATGGACCACCGCAGCTGTCATGGCAATGCGCTGCTGTGATGTTACACTTTCTACAGTGGTTGTGTTGCTACTGCTGTTTGAAATAGGTTTTGGGATACTCAGAGAGGCTGCACTCATGTAAGGTATTACCAGCTAGGGAGAACATGTGCTTTATAATAAGGGAAGCCATGTATGTAAATATGCAGTGCAAGCTGTTCATTCTCTCTGAGGTTACTGATCACATCATTAACCTAAGGACCAGACTTTTTAGTGGTAATGTAGGCTAGATTGTATGATGATTTATCTTTTTACATTCTTCCAGAGAGTGTTATTACTGGCTGTGCTTTAAGATAAATGCTCCAGGCACTTGATTGTAGTAGCATCATGATTACTTCAGTTGGCTACTACAGCCTCACAGGAAGCTCTGTGATCAGACATCCATCAATTAGTCCTTGACGTGGCAGTCTGTGAAAACACGGTGGGATTCACTGAGATTTTCATAAACCTTTTTCATGTGCATGTTACTAATGTTCCCATGGAAGGGGGGCTGGGGTGGTAGGGGAGTTGGAGGCAGAGAGAGAACGTGGGTAGAGCCAGATGCCTCTTTTAACACTACCAAAAATACACAACTACAAAGGATTTACCTTTCAGATGCCTAAGATACCAGCAAAAATGAGTTCAGAGCAATTTATAGCACTTGATTCTTTGTTTCCTTATGCATCCTGCTGCCATTTATACTAAGGAGAAAGAGGGGTTCACATCAGCAAATCTTCAATACAAGTGTTTTCATTAAGTCCAAGGAACTGGAAATAGTGTTATAATCCCCTTGCCTCTCATACATATGTCTGTACTGTTACACAGGTGTACTTTCTGTGGGAGACAAAAGAGGGAATAGATCTGATTCTAATCTTACTTTCATTATGTTAACTGGACCGTTAATTTACCAGTGTGCTGCACTGGTGGAAATGGTAGTGCTAGGTATTGGTAGAGATGACAAATGACAGTCAAACTTAAGAACAAAGTGTAAGCCTTTAATAAATAATAATGAATAACAAAATTCTTTTATTTTTCCTTTCTTTTTTTTTTTTCTTTTAGTCTAAGGTGGAGTGAGGATATGAGCTAGCAACATGTGAGCTCTTGAAAAGTACATTCAGGAGCAGATTTTAGTGTGAAGTCTTTGTTTTTTGGTTTTAGAGGAGGGGTTTGGAAAAGGAGGCTGGAAAAATGGAATTTTTTTAAAAAATGTGCAAATATCTTTGTAATATCTTAAATGCAAATTTGTTAGAGACAGGAATGGTTTGGGGGTTTTTATTACCTCTGCTTTACCTAAGACGCATCCCAGTTCTATTCCTAGGGAACAAAACTTATTCAGGAGCTTGTAAAGAAAAGCTGTCTCTAGGTGTCGGGCAGGGAGAAATTGCTTATGGAAAGAGGTCTTCCCCCTGGGAGAGATCGAATATCAGGCTGAGCGAGCCCAGTCCAACCCAAAGAGCTCCCACCGACACCCGGTCCTTGCCGGAGGACTTTGCCATCGATGGCCGCCGCCTCTGGCCACGCTCTGCCAGGAGAGAGGGAGCGGGTGGGTGCGCAACTCCTGCCCGCTCCCTCTCTTTGATTTGATGGCCTTTATTCCTCCTAATTGGATAAAATAGGAAGTCACTGACAATCCTGCGTTGCTGGGTGTACTGATTTCCCTCAGAGCAGCCCTGCAGAGGGCGGGGGGTGGGGTAGGGGAGGAAGGAGCGAGTCTGTACAGCAGGGAAACAGGCTGCGAGGGGGCTGGGGGAGCGGGGCGGGGGGGAACGGAGGAAAGTGAATGAGCGCTTAAGAAGGACAAAGAGGGAGGGGAGAGAAAGGGAGTTACCACCGTCTTGGCATCGCTCTTCCTTTCAAACCTCTGTGTAATGATATTGTTTGCAGTGATGCTCAGACAGCGAGCACCTGCTGCTCTGTAATGATTCAGCCTCTTTCAGCCGCCGCTGTAACACGACAGGATGCTGCTGCTACTGTCACTTCTGCCGCTGCCGCTGTTGTTACAGATTTTGCTTTTGCTCCTTCTACCGCATGACAATTGTTTTCCTCGTCTAAGCAGATACCAGCCTCAGACGCTCAAGGTGAGAGTCTTGCCTTTCGCTCTGGGCTACTGGTTCACTTAATCCGGTCAGTTTGTTCAGTGTTTGTGGTTTTCTTTATCTCATCACCCTCCTTCCCCCTGTTTTGTTTTGTTGTGCTTGCTTTTGGGGGAATGTTTCTTCCCTCCTTCAGAAGAACTGAAATTGCTTGAGAGGAATTTAAGGAATTATAAAAGTGGCTAGCAAACAGGAGCTCAGTAATTGCAAAGCTGTTCTCGCTTCAGAGAAGCAGAGAGAGTGACAGAGGGCTTGGGGGCAGGGGAACCGGGGGGCATCTAATTTTTCCTGTGCGTTACTCCTCTCCCAGTTTGGATGACGTTGCTGAGCTTGGACCTTTTATTGACTCCCACTCTGATTTTTGCAGAGCACTGTGACTATTACTACCATCTCTTTTTGTCTGTGTCTCACAGTAATGGACTGTGATAGAGTTAAGGCCTTTTGGAGGTGAGCTGTTTGAGAGCTGATGTTTAAACATGTCTGAAGTAGCTGCCGACACTTTCCCCAGCCCCTCAGCTCAGCTGAGCCCTGATGCATCCCTCAACGGGCTCCCAGATGAGGAGAACATGCCGGGGACCCAAAGAGAGGACAGGAGGGTCCAGGGGATAGCAGGCCTTGCCGCAACCTGCTGTGCGTGCCTGGAGGCAGAGCGACTGAAGGGCTGCCTCAACTCTGAAAAAATCTGCATCGCCCCTATCCTGGCTTGCCTGCTTAGCCTTTGCCTCTGCATTGCTGGCCTCAAGTGGGTCTTTGTGGACAAGATTTTTGAGTATGACTCTCCTACCCACCTTGACCCTGGGAGGATAGGACAAGACCCAAAGAGCGCTGTGGATCCTACAGCTCTGCCTGCCCGGGTGCCTTCGGAGGTGTATGCCTCACCATTCCTCGTACCTAGCCCCAAGAGCAAGGCTGAAGTGACAGTGCAAAGTGCCAGCTCACTTGTGTCCTCCAAACCATTCCTCCAGCCTTCTCTGTATAACCGCATCCTAGATGTTGGGTTGTTGTCCTCTGCTGCACCTTCGCTGTCACCATCCGCCCTGGAGCCTACCACAGCGTCTCAGGCACAAGCAACAGAAACCAATCTCCAAACTTCTCCAAAACTTTGTAAGTAAAAGCTGTGTGTTTCTTTGGGTTTTTTCCCCCCTTTCACCAGAAAGGGAGAAAAAAAAAAAAAAAAAAAAAAAAGCCACTTAACTGTTCTGCGACTGTCCACAAGGAGGGCATGGGATTGGCATGCAAAGCTTAAGTGTGCTAAGACAGGTATGGCATGGGTTACCTTTGAGGAGAGCATCTACAGTCCTCTGCACTTAGTTCTGGACTGTGCAGGGTAAAGAGGGCTTTGTCTGGGATCTTTATAAAGGCCTAATACCACCCTTTTCTTTGCATCCACTTGTAGGGAAATACATGATTTACTGTGTATCTGATAGCTATTCCACATGGTCTATTTTTTCTTAGAAATTTGATTTGCGTCCTGTGCTGGATCTTCCATGTATGTTCATTTTCTTTGCCTTGCCTGCAGAGCACTTCTGGTACATCCTTCCTGAAATCTGTTGCTGGCAAATATCCCTATCATCCTACTGAAACACTCAGACCAGTGAGAAAAAGTGACAGCCTATTTGAAGCAGTTAGAAACTGGGAATTATTAATTTAGCATCTAGCTTATGATCTTTCTCTTAAGAGCAAAGCACAGATTTCTCTGTGTCTTTTCCCATCTCTAGAAGCTGACTCTTACTGAAACTGTTTCTCATATATTGCTTTTTTGCCTTTTGTGGGGCATTTCAAGAAATTATTCTTGCCAGTGTAGGAGGAATCAATTTCTGAATTAGACTTCACTCGTCCTGGAAGCAGGAAACATCCAGGGTACCTGTGTTATTTTCTCAGTAGTCGTTGTAGAGCATCAAAATGCTGCATCGCTGGAGTGTCATTTCTTTGACATTCATGACTTTAACCCACCAAATCTGGAGCAAATCAAGCCAGCAACCCCTGAGTTGTGTAAAATTTTGCAACTCTAGTAAAAGAGAAGGCAACGCACCGTCGTGCTGAGAGCACAGGGCTGAGGTCTCCTTTAGAAAGCTGCGGTGATCAGAGTGCACAATTGCATTCCTCACAAATTTCCTTGCAGGACACCATGTCATTTACCCTCCCTCATGCCTTCCCTGTAATGCTGCAGGTTGGCTACCTTGTAGATGGTACATACTGGACCTCACCCTGGAGCCCTGAAGTCACCATAATTCCACTGCTAAGTTTAACCCCACTAGCACTGGACCTAGTATAGATAGGGGTCTATACTAGGGGCCAACCACCTTGCCAGCATAACTACAGTGATTTCAGAGAAGGTCCTTTCAGCTGGGAGTCAATCTTGAACAGCAGTTTCAGAATCGCTGAAAGAAAGTCTTAAGTATTCCTGTAAAAACCCTGTTTCCTTTTGCTTAGATAATGGTGAAAACCATCCTTTGGGTTAAAAGTAATTTGTCTGATGGAAACAGTTCTAACAGGGAAATACTGCTGTACTGTTAAATGACAGGGGGCTTTGTCTGTGATATTACTTGAATTAACCACCTTTGCAATTATATAGTACTATTCTAAATGTTTTGGTTTGTGCTTTTTTTAATATTGCTGATGCATAATATCTTTTTTTTGGTGCAAATATTGTGACATTAAATATAGGACAGCACTTTTACTCTAGAAAGTGACGAGAGACCACTATCCAGTCAAAATTGCCTCAAGAATTCCTCTTGAATTTCCACATATGAAGCAAACCTTTACCAATAACATGCTAACTTCATCTCTGAAGTAAAGGAAGGAGGAGGTGGGGTGGAAGAGAGTCTTTGGAGCAGTCACTGACAAAAAGCCATTATCTGCATTCTGATCTGCTCACATCTGGAAAATAAATGGTTGTCCAGAAGCTAAGTGATTGGGTCAAAGGGGTTTTTAGTTTTAGGTTTGGGGGGTTTTTTGTGTGTAGGTGTGTGGGGGAGAGGGCAGGGGGATTTGTTTGATTTTTGGGGGTTGATTGTTGTTTTTTTTTTACTGTTGCGTTAATTTTCTAAAGATAAATGTGTATTAAGGCATCACAGTCTTACGATAGCTACAGACTGAAAGGAGAGGGAGAACTGGCAGCAGGTCAAGTTTGGGTTGCTCTGAGGCAGAAGGTTGTGTAGACAGAATTTATTCTAACTGTGGCACATAGTTCTGACTATGGCAAGCAGCTGTAATGCTCTGCAAAGAAAAATAGGAAAATATAACTGGAAAAATGCACTGCAAAAGATCTGCCTAAGAATTCCAAGAGGCATAAAAAGAACTTTTTGGACAGCTCTAAAAGCACTGTCTTGGGGTTTTTGAAACAGCTGCATTTCAAACACATCGTTGTGTTTTATGTAGAGCAAGATTTGTTGGAGAGGTTGACAGATTGCATCAGTGCTAGCTTTTTTTTTTAATGCCTTTGACAGCTATAAAATTCTCAGTGACATGGCTTGAAAAGTAGCATCTGCAAATTGGATTGTCCCTTCTTTTGCTTCTCAGTGCCCTTCTTTCCTTTTCAGAGTGCAGTAACTTCTTCCCAGAAGGTCCCTTATGTGCTGAATTTTTTTTTTTCCAGTGCAGAAATAAAAAAGAACTGACACATTTCATATTCTGTGGTTGATGTACTGTTTCTGAACCTAGCCCTTCCATGACTTTCCAAATCCTTTTCTCTTCTCCTCTCTTTTCTGTCTTACTCAGCATATTCCCCTTAAAGCTACATCCTTCAAGGTCATAGTCTGCAGAGAGCTAATTGATTCTTCTTTCTTGGAACCTGGAAGAAAAAGCAGAAGGGAGACAACCCTTGTAATTGTGTCTGGTGTACTAGATTCAGACTGGTCTCACTCCTATTATTATACTTTGCCCTTTATCAATACAGAAATATTCCTTCCCATTTGGTTTACATTTTGCATTGTAATATCATTTATCCTTTCCTGAAACAGAAAGGGAAACTGAATGTTTTAAAGCATTCTCGTACTTAGGAAGCTTGTCAATCTTAGCACAGTTACACAGAGAAGATTTTACTATAAGCAGAAAATAATAACATACACACTAACCTACAATCTCGTTTCCTGTGAGAAGACATGCAGATTGTAATAGTGCTAACTCAGTTTAGGAGATAAATTTCACTTCTTCCTACACTATCACATTTAAATACAATTCCTTTACCCAGGCTGATAATAGACTCAGCTCTGTAGTTCTGTAATAGCTGCTTTTATACACCTGCAAACCAACCACTCCCCTCTTTAAAGATCTTCCCACTGCTTTCTCTTTCCATTTAAGCAGATTTCCTTCAAAAAGAACCAGCAAGGCCTGTGTGGGGCTTGCCTTTCAGTGGTGACAGCTCTGCCAAAGTGGCACAAGTGGTCCTGTGCTTTGGGTCTGTCCCAAAGCAGAGGTGCCCAAGCATCCCTTGGTTTTGGGACTACAATTCTTGCGACTTGGCACAGGGCGCACAAGAGGTAGAGCAGGAGACAGATGCCACAGCATGACTTTGCTTGGAGTGGGTTTCCCTGTGAGAAGAGCAAAGGACCCATCAGAGAGAAGTGTCCAGAGGGTGCTTGTCCCTGGTGGCACATCCACGCTACCCCTGCATCCTTTTCACTTTTGGCTTCCCTGCACATCTCAGGTGCCACACGCTGATGGGCCAGCTGCACACACTGTGCCGTGCTGGTGGCCAGCAGATGACCAATAACATGTCTCCATCTCCCCACCTCTGTGTCCTGTGGTGCTTATAACATGCAGAGGCAGGTGCATCAGTGCAGCACCAGACCTGTGCATGTCCCCTGGGAGGCAGGCAGGGCCCCTTCCTGTCTCACTCATGCTGGCCATCACCTGGAAAACAGGGCAAAGTGGAGAAAGGGCTCTGCGTTCCTGTCAACCACCCTTGACTGGGACAGCTCCCTTCTCATGTTTCTGATTTCTGCTGTCACTTCAGATGTGCTGGGTCAGCATCAGCAACTGATGCTGCTTTTTCATCCTCAATGGAAAAAGGTGTTAAAAGGTTACCTCTGAAGTCTGGTAGTGGTTTACCTAGGTAAACACCTAGGAAAGAGTCTCAGCTCCCCTCCAAAGTTATCCAGGCAAAATGGCTGAATTTCTTATATCTTTTTAAAGCTAGAAATGGGAAAAATTGAATGAAAACAAACCTGTACCTTGCTGTGGTATCATACTGTAAATATTCCTTGCAATTTTGCTCTGTCTCTTTCACTTCCCCCTGTTCTTTCTCAGCTCCACATTTGATGTCCTTTCTCCTGTACACAGTGATTTGGGAAGGTCTGTATTGTAGCTTGATGGCAGGCTAGAGGGAGCCTCTCCCTCCAGTTATAAGTGCTGCAGCCCTATAACTGAAGGATTCAGTTTATGGGCAAGGAGGATTTGTTCATGGCAGCTTCACACAGTGTTTGTTCTTTTTCTTGAAACAGTCTTATTCTGACCCACGCTCTGTAGTTCAAATCCCCATCACAACACCATAGGGTTGAGTCCATGCCTGGCAATCCCTGAATTGTGTCAAGGTCAGGGATGTCTCAGAGAGCCACCGGGGACTTCATTCACAGGAGGGGAGGGCAGATGGTATATACCAGCTATATACCAGCCTTTCCTGTGCTCACTGCTATGTACTGGGCATTACCACAGGAGAGACTGGTTTTTTTCCCAAAACTTGAAGATGGAGGGGGAGAGCACCTTAAAGCAGGTGCTGCTCCATTTCTGATACATTGTTGATGTTGATTAGCACCTACATTAGGAGGCCTCCAGCTTCATATCCAGCGTAAAGGGAGAGACCTCCCCAAGCTGATTACCAGAGTGACACTAGCAGGAGTAACCCTGTTTCTTCAATGAGTCTACAGGGAGACTACCCTTGCAATTCAGATTCTAAGTTAAATATCTACCACGCAGCATGAGGACTCATTTCAAAAGCCACGACTTTTCTTTGATGTGTCCTGTGGATTAACAACATCTTGTCAAAGGAAAGTTACAAATAATCGCAGTTAAGATGCCAGACAAGTTCTGAGCCTAACTCAGGAGTGTAGTAAAGAAATGCTGATCTCAGTAGGCCCAGGAGACACATGTGGACCTCCATTAAC